GATGCAGCTGCTTAAAGCCTGCATGGGGCTGCCTTGTCACCACTGCCCCGTGGGGCAGCCCTGAGGTGGTGGTGTGGTGGTAGAGATGCAGGACAGCCCTCCACAGGCTCTGTATGCTGACCAACAGTTTGTCCCAGGCTGCCACTGCTTAGCCCAGACCAGGGAGCGCAAGGCACGCAGAGTCAGGGCTATGTGCACTGGTCCCCGCCTGGACCATGGGGCTGGGACGGGGGGACTGGGAGTGAGTATGCACAGGAGTGAGCGGCAGATGAATGGGAGTACAGGGCCCATGCCGGTGTCCTGGGGCCAGTGCCAGCAGGGCCCAGAGCGGGACAGCAGGAGCGCAGGGTCCCGACCAGCAGGGGCTTTATGGAGCTGAGGCAGTTCCCTTCTCTCCCTGCTGGCACAGCCCAGCGCAGCTCCATAGACCCCTGCCAGCTCATACCCTGCACTCATACCCTGCACTCTGGACCCTGCACTCCTGTGTGCCCACTCACTTCCACTTTCCCCCACCCCCACCGCTGCTTTCCCCAGTTTTGTACCCACCTGCTGGCCACTGTGCATCATATGGCTCCCGGGTGCCTGGCCAGACCGCTGGAGTCAGCAGGAGCTGGCCTGGCCCCAAGGACTGGGGCTATTGCCCACGGTCCTCCCCTGTTTCCCCATCCCCCTGCCCCCTCCTTACCTGAATTTCCAGCTTTGGCACAGGGAAGTATGAACATCCTCACAGTCCCCAGCCAGAAGCCTCTGCTAGGCAGAGACTTCCAGCTGGGGGGATGGGTTGGGCGGGCCTTGCTGTTGCAGGGTCCTGCCATGGATTCCCCTGAGTTCTACTGACCCTGGCTCCTGTCATCTTTGACAGGCAGTCGGGGTTGGTAAATAATACTTTTCTAAATTTTTTAGGGGCCCCGTGGGCCATATTTTGCCCATCTCAGCTCTACAAGATAAACAGCAGCAGGGAAGTTCCTGACTTCCTGGGGTACTTGGCCAGGGCCAAATCCCAGGGCCTCTTCCTTCTAGGGTAGTATTAATTTAATTTAGCCATGCACACCCTGTATTCCATAGTAAACCTCCTCCTCTGACCTCAGGGACAGATTGTTCCTGACATTCTTTCTCACTGCATCTTGCCTTCCAGCTGATTCTGTACAAGCACTTAACATGGGGCTGTAAATGATGATGGGCAACACCTGGAGTGGGGAGGGGAGGGGGCTTGGAATCTTGTGGGAACAGGACAGCACCCACAGGGGTCAGCTGCGCCATCTGATAAAATAGTGGCAATTGCAATCACGTCAGTGCTTACACTGTACTGTAGATTTACCAAACCCAAATCTGGTTCCATTCTGGTCATAGCAGCATGGGGATGCTTATCCCACCCTGCATATTTACCCAGTTTCCTGCATGGGTTTTGCAGTCCCCACTGAGCCCTGTGCTGCCTCAGCTAGAAGGCTACCAGGGCCTGAACTAGATGGTTAAGAATTAGCTCATGTATATCATACTGAAAGAATGATGTTGTAGCTGTGAAGGTCCAGACATTATGCAAGAGGCAAGAATTTCTTAGGGTGATATATTTTATTGGACCAACTCTTTAGTTGGGATTAAGTTAGGGCCCTGTTACACAGTAATTTTGGGCAGTTCCTGGAGCTCTTAACCCATGGATTGTCTGCACATTAACACCTTAAATTAGTTTTAAACACTCCTTAGGCAGCTCAAAGTTATACTATTCCAAGGTAGGAATTGCGGGGCTGGCAGTGGCAGTGCTGGAACTGAATGAACTATGGGGGGCTGCAGCCACCCTAAAATTCTCCATAGCCCCCCTCCCCCCCCTTCCCTCCTCCGAGGGCTGCCACCACCCACCCTGTGTAGCCCTGCCCTGTCGGGAAGAGCCCGCTTCACCCCGCCCCATGCAAATCTGGGGGCACATGCCCCCCCCATGCCCTCCCAGACGAGCAGCAGGAGCAGCAGTGGGTGCCACCCCACATCATCCAGCCGTGGCTCCATTCTGTGCTCTCCCCACATCATCTGGGCAGTGCTTGCACCAGCCTCTCACCCGGCCCCCAGCCCACTCCTCCCTCACCGCTGGGGCCTTGATCGGCGCCCCACCTCCCCCCAGCCCCTTCCCTCCCCTTTCCCCTTACCAGTTTCATGCAGCTCTCCACGCTGCCCAGCTGTGCTCCTTGCCATTTACATGCTGTGCTGCAGCTGCATGTATGCATGAGCCTTTTATCGGCCAAATTATCGGCTATATCAGGCCAATTTCCGATACAAACAGTTTTCTCTATCTCGGTGCCAATCTGATATCAGACCGATGTATCAGTGCACTTCTGCTGCTTAAATTGGGCTCGCTGTCCCACTCCCTGCCATCCCCCCACCTTGTTGCTGTCTGTGCTGTCTGTCCTGGAAAAGCAGGCAGGGAAGGGTTAATCTGTGTGCCTGGCCACTCCTGTCACCCTGTGCCAGGCTCAGCTCAGCCCAGAGAGTAGCAGTGCAGGCAGCAGAGGCCAGGCATGCAGATTCACCCCACCCTGCCTGCTCCCCTGGGAAAAACAGTGCAGGCAGTCACAAGTATGTGGGGCAGGGGAGAGGGGAGTCCCATGGGTGGGAAGCAGAGGGGAACCCTGGAATGGGGTGGGGAGGCGGGAGGGGGGATTCTTAACTTTCAGTCTTTCAGTCTTTCAAGTTTCGCAATGCAAGACATTCTTTGTTGGGTCTGACCTGGCCTAACCCTTTGTCAGACCTGATGAAGAAGGTCTTGCATTGGAAACCTTGACTTTATCTTAACTACAGAGCTGATCCTATAAAAACTTTCACGCTAAGAAATTCTTGCTACTCACATATATCTACACTACCTTACAGTTAGAGCAACGATTGTGCAGGGGATACAGCATCATTAGGCACATCTGCATGCGCTATTAATTTACAGTAGGATTATAAGCCTACTGTGGGAGCAGATGTGCTCCTACTGGTTGGGGACAGACATTACACATAAACTGGTTTAAGTGATCAGAAACTGGTTTAAACCTGTAACAGAACAGACATTCAGTGCACATAAACCAGTTTCAAAATGTCTGAAACCAGTTTGAGATAAACCTGGTTCAAGAGCCTGGGTAGCTCAGTCAGTAGAGCATCAGCCTTAACTGATTTGATTCAGACCGGTTTATGCAATGTCTGTCCCAGACCCCTTGCTGGTTTAAGTTAAACTAGAGACTCCCAGCATCCCAGAATGCTGTCTGGGCTGGGCCCACCCCTCTGCTCCCCAGCCTGAGCAGGGAAAGGCAGGAGTGGGGGGTCTAGCCAAGGAGGGGTTTAATTCCCCCTCTCTATCCCACCATCAGGGACCCCAGCTGGGTCTGCCAGGCTCTCCCCACTCACTGCTGCAGCAGCAGAGCACCATGGCCCCTGAGGCAGAATAAGGCAGGGAAGAGAGTTAGTCTCCCCTCTACCCCTGCTGGCAGTCAGGTCTGCCCACTGTCGCCATTGCCATGCTCGCTCCCTGTAGGGGAATATGTCTCTTGCTGTCTCCTCTGCTGGATGCTGGAAGGAGGAGGAATAACCCCATCCCTGCACCCGCAAGGGGCCCTGTCTGACTGTGCAACCACCCCACTGCTGTAGGGCTGGAGTTCCCTGCCACATCCCTTCCTCAGCCTCTGGGCTGGCTGAGACCGACAGAGCGTGTCGGGTGGAAGAAGTCCACAGTGGGGCTTGGCTCTGCCCCCAGAGCTGGAGCCATGCTCCCCTCTCAGCTGGCCCAGAGGATGAGAAGGGGATGTGGCAGGAGACTTCAGTTTCTCTTCTCCCTCCTTCCCCCCTCCCCTCAGCCCCAGTACCAGCAGCTGCCACTCAGTCTGGTCTGAGCTTGGGCCAGGCCCCTCCCAGCAGGAGGGGGCTTACCAGGGGTGGGCAGTTGTTTTGGGCACAGGGCCACTTACTGAGTTTTGGCAAGCTGTCGAGGGCCTTGACAGGTGCCCCATTCCCATATCATCATCTTTGGACTGGAAGTCCCACCCCTGACCTTTGCCACTATAAGTCCCTCTCCTTGGCCCCAGAAGTACTGCTTTTAGCAAGGGGTTTTGCCATCTTGGAACCAGAAAAATACCAACTCATATTCTAAAAAGCGAACATCTAAAACATTAATTAATTTGATTAAAAAAAATATTTTTGCCCTGGTTTACATGCATTTGTGTACTGTACATAGAGTTGATTGCACAATAGCTTAAAATGAAGTCTTATTCCTGTATGTTGTGGGGGGTGGGTATAGGTTTGTGGGGGGCTGTGGGTTTGTGGGTATGTGGGGTGAGGGAGCATGTGGGTATGTGTATGGATACATGGGGTGTTGGGGGAGGGTGGCTGGGTTGTGTGAGGGGGTGTGGGGGTCTGCATTTATAGCAGTGCAAGGTAGGGGTGCATATGTATGGTGGGGGGGTGTGTGGGGGACTCGCTCAACAAACACACACGCTCTGCCCCTGCGTAGGCTGGGCATACACCCCTACACACACACACACACACACATATGCACACACACTACCCCTGCCTGCATGTACGCACACACCCCTGTACCGGCATGGCACTGTGTTCCCCAGTCCAGCCATGAAGCCCGGAGCCAGTGGTACTGGAGCAGGGTGGGGGCAGGAAGCAGGGAAATAGTTGAGGGTGGGTGGGGCTGCTGGCTCCCCCTGGGTGCTACTGGCCCTGTCTCCTGTTATCTTTGATAGGCAGCCAGGGGCAGATAAATATTTTCTAAATTTGTAGGGGTCCCACGAGCTGGATAGAATGGCCTGGTGAGCTCAATCCAGCCCACAGGCCATATTTCTCCCACCCCTGCTCCAGATGCTGCCCCAAGTGCAGACAGAGTGGCAGCTGCCCAGCAGCCTGACTTCTCAGCACAAGAGGGGAGAGAGTTCCTCTTCTCAACCTTGGGGCTGAGGGCAGTGGGGGAGAAGAGAGAGAAGCTGAAGTCCCCATGCCCCTCTCTCAGCTGACCCAGAGGTTGAGAAGGGGATGTGCCAGGGGACTTGAGCTTCTCCTGTCCCTCCTCCCCCCCTCCCCTCAGCTGGCCCAGAGACAGAAGGGGACATGGCAATGGACTCCAGCTCTGCTCCCAGCTCCAGGGGGGTGGAGCCAAGCCCCAGTACAGGCTCCTGGATCCTCCCAGCCAGCCCCAAGGCTGAGAAGAGGAACTCTCTTCCCTTATGTGCTAAGAAGTCAGGGCAGGGATGGCAGGCAGACCCAGTTGCCAGTGGGGGTAGAGGGGAGACTAACTCTCCTCTCTTTTCCACTCTGTCTCAGGGGCTATGGTGCCCCACTGCTGCAGCAGTGAGTGGGGAGTGCCTGGTAGATCTGGTTTGAGTCCCTGCCAGTGGGATAGAGAGGGGGAATTAAACCCCTCCCTCACCAGTTCAGCCCAGACTGGCCAGCCTCCCCACCCCCCCCAGCTTCCCTGGAGCCAAGGGTGTGCTCTAGCACCCCCCAATGCCTGGCCTGAGCAACTGCAGGCATGTGCTTGCAGTTCCTGAGTCCAGAGAGAATGTTTGTCCTGTTACAAATTGGTTTAACCTAGGCAGGTTAGACTAACCTGCAAAAGTTGAATCAGTTTAGGCTCCAGCTTTTTGAATGTCTGTCCCTAGCAAGTGAGCAGCCTGGAGAGGGCTGCTTCCACACTGCTCTGCCCCCCTTGCAGCAGACTCCCCCTGGGTGCTAGCCCAGAGGCTGACAAGGAGCACAGGGCCAGGAGACAGCTGCCTCCTGCCCCCACCATCACCCCCCATACACACACATTGGGAGGGGTCTTAATGTGCACAGGGCAGGAGAGCTGCTGCTGCAGAGCTCTCCTGTCCCGTGAATATGGGGATAAGCCCTGTGCCCAGCCTATTCGGAGGCAGGTCCCAGCCATCTCGGGACTGGGTGGGGACCTCTATTTGTGCAGGGAGCTCCTGGCCCCAGCTCCCTGATTAGAGTAGGAGCTGGAACATTGTTTCCTGTACCCAGAAGCTGCCGGGGCGAGCTCCAGGCTGAGACAGTGTCCCCCTACCCCAGCAACAGGCAACTCTAGGCCCTGGCTCTGGATCAGAGCAGGGGCTGGGACATTGCTCCCTGCCCCTCCCCAGTGTGGGGACAGGCTCTGATTATGGAGCTGGGGGCTAGGAGCTGCCTGCTGCTGGGGCAGGGGAACATTGTTCTACCAGGCTCCTTGCTTGGAGGTCACCCTGGCAGCAGGTAGCTCCCTGGGGCAGGGAACAGTGTCCCATCCCCTGCTCTTATCATGGAGCTGGGGCAGGGGGACAGTGTCCCAGGCCAAACTCTGTGATTGGAGCCCACCCCAGCAGCAAGCAGCTCCTGGGGGAGGGTATTGTTCTCCTGCCCCCTGGCTGCCCAGGCTAACTGGGAGCAAATTTGCACATGGACTTTTGTTCAGTAACTACAGTGCAGTTAATTTGCTACCTGCATATGCAGGTAGTAAATTTACTGCACAGTTGACTAATTGACTGCACAGTAAGCATCTGCACGTGTAGATGGTGATACTTTACTGCACAGTCAATTAGTCAATGGCATGGTAAAGCATCTTTTGTAGACTTGCCCACTGTGTACCACTTACCGCCTTACCCATAAAGCTTTTGTTACACTGCCACCTAGTGGCAAGGTGCAGTAGTGTAATAAGAACCAGCCGGAAGGAGACTGTTCTCTTCTTTCTAACTGGATGCAGCAGAACAAAGAAATACGGGAGCTGCAAGTTAGTAGAGTCCTGTCCTGTGGTTCTACATGTGATGAGGAGTACAGAATTTTGCAGAAGTTTACTCCTTAGAGCAACAGGATGCTGTGGTCTGGACCAACTGAGTTATGGCCTTCTCTTGGGGTGCGGAGAATCTTGGTTGTGCCAGCTGCGCCAGGCCTGTGGTACAGAACTGCCATAAGGAATGAGCTTGTGGTGCCCCTTTTTTGAGTTTCAGGGAGGAAGTGCACCAGGACTGTACCCAGGCATGAATCCCAGCCCAAGGCAGAGGCTCTGAAATCCACTTTGTCTGTAGCGGGGCATTTCAGAACTTGTGGAAGATAGTGGTCTCTGACATCACAGTTTATGAAGGGCCATCGTGTTTCTGGATGGGAGATGCAAACTGTAGTTATAGGGGGCTCTGGTAGTCATTGTTGTGAGCTGCAGAGGCAAAGGAAAATGGGCATGGGAGTGATAAGCATGCAGCAAGGACCTGTACCTTAGCCCTGCGTCCATCTCTCTTCACTAGCCATTGCTGATAGATCAGCTGTTGCACCCAGATGCTGGACTGCCTTCCAGCTCCTGCTCTGTGGCCAGTTTACGTGTTATGTCAGTTCTTCTCCCACAGTTGCTCTTTGGTCCTTCCCAACCACTGTTTTGCCTGCACTCTGGCTTCTATTCAGTGGCTGGTACACCTGGAAGTACCAATGTAGTGAGCATTTTATAGGTTGCTTACTCTCTTCCCATCCCTCCATTTCCTCTCCCCCACTCCTTCATGAGTTTTATCTCAAAAATAAATGAGCACAGGCTGTGGAAACCTGTTCATATTCCCAGCCTTCAGGCTCAATTTAGTGAGGGTTCTGGTAGGACGTTGTCTCTCTTTTGTAGTTTGCACAATTTATGCTAGATGGTGATCAGTGTGAGAGCACCAGCTGGGCTCGTAACCAGGGGCACAAAACAGAGACCCCAAAATGCCAGGAGTTGTGGGGTGTAGAACTGTTCATTGATACATGCTGGTTCTATTCCAGGAGAGCATCCCTTTTGCTGTGATTGGTAGCAACACAGTCGTGGAGGCCAAAGGAAGGAGAGTCCGGGGGCGACTGTATCCCTGGGGCATTGTGGAAGGTAATACTCTGTCTCAGGCTGTCCTGGATTCTGTCCAAATTAGTAACCTCTGGCTCAGGAACCATGTCTCACCAGTCAGCACTGTGGTGCTTGCACCAGGCAGGTCTGTCCTTGGTGGGAGTGACCTGGATTGGGATCATTAAGGCACCAGGCAGGTCTGTCTTAGGTGGGATCATTAAGGCTGACCATTAAACCAACAACAAAACAGCACTTTACTTTAAACTCAGCATGCTCTGACACCAAGCCCAGCACATGCCCAGAAGAGGCAGTGCATTAGTTGCACCCAGCTTTCCCAGTGTCTGTATAGATTGAGTGCTTTAGCAGGGCTTTTTGGAGGGCTTTTTTGGCACGTTGATCTAATAGTTGATTGAATCAGTTTTAGATAAAAAGCCCCACTAAAGCGCCTGATCTATGCAGACACTGCAGAGTTGGGGTTCCTCCCCCACATCTGTCAGCACCCCAAGGCTCTGCCTGTTTCCATGTGATTTAGCAGGTCAGATTTGGTAGAAGTTCCAGGCTTCCTGGACAGGATCTTGTGTAGCTCATGTCACCGTTTTTTGGTCCCATGTGCAAGCAGGGAAGAAAGAGCTGCTTTGCAAGAGGATGCCCTACGTTTCTTTAGTAACTGGATGTTTTGGCCAAGTTCGTTCATTTGTGAAGAGGCCCAGATTTCCTGACTGGGTTGAGAGGGTGTGGGGGCACTTGTTTTCCCCTCTAACCCTGCTCCTCCCTTGCAGTGGAGAACCCCACACACTGTGACTTTGTGAAGCTCCGTACTATGCTGGTAAGGACGCATATGCAGGACCTCAAGGATGTGACACGAGAGACTCACTATGAGAACTACCGGGCCCAGTGCATCCAGAGCATGACGCGTATGGTGGTGAAGGAGAGGAACCGCAAGTATGGGGAAGTGCCTTGGGTTATACAGGGGTAGGGGCTGAAGTGCTGAGAGGCAGTGTTTGGGCCAGAGCCACCACCAGTGTGGGATGAGACAGCATGCCCATGCTAGCTCAGAGTAGGGAAGTCAAGCTTGGGAGCCACAGGAAGGGTGTGTGGATGCCATTCTGCATGGGTGAAAGGGAGATGCCAGTCTGCATGGGTGAAAGGGAGAAGGCCTGGCATGTTTTTGTTTTCTCTTTGGAAGTTCAGTGCTGGGCTGTAGCACTAGCAAGACAAGCAACTGTTTATGGCACCATGATCCTATGAGCAAGGAACAGTACTGCTTGCTTTGCCCAACAGCAGGCTGGAGCCCAGGAACAAACACCCCAGTCTTTAGAGATCCTTGGGAGCCGTGAGTAGGTTCATCAGCCAGTCCAGGAACCTGGACGGGACCTCATATTGACTTTCACCACTGGCTCCTGCTTTGTATTCACAAGGCCCTTGTTGCTGAGCTCTGGGGGAAAAACCCCAGCCAACACAGTAATGGAGCCTCCCCATGGTGGGAGAAACACCAGCCAACACAGTAATGGAGCCTCCCCATGCTGTACAGCTGGGGACTTCCATGGTCAAGGAAGGAATGCACCAGCCCAAGGCTTGCCCCTGGTCAGCAGGGTTGTCTTTGCCATCTGTCCCTGATAGCTTCCCAATGTGGGCAGTTCATACCGGGAGGCTGTGAAAGGAACATGACATGGCACCAGAATATATTTAGCAGGGGTGTACAGGGAAGGACATCCCCCACCCCACCTCACAGACCATGGCAGAACCTGGACATTTGTAAGTATGAGACAAACAAAAGCAGAGGCCACATCTGTCCCTGTGCTCCACACAGCCCAGCTCAGGGGCAGTCCAGTTCTGCTGTTGCAGGAGGTTGACTTGGTCCCCAGTGGAGGTTGCAGCATCTCTGGTAGCTTCTGTGCCCATGTGGGCCTTCCAGTGCTGGAACCAGGATCTGAGCTCTACATCTACTGGGCAGCTCCCTGAGTGGGACTCATAGCCCCTCTTCTTTGCTGGCACAGAGAAGCTGCATAACAAGGTGAAGGAGAAGGTCAAAGGGCAGCATCCCTGTGCAGTCACTTGGTGAACAGGCAGTGCTGTTGGTGCAGGATTTTGTGGCAGAACCCAGTGTGTAAGGGAGAGCACATAGGTGCAGAGAGGACAGGCAAATCCCCAACTCCTCAGGGTGCCAAGAGCTCCCACTTGCATGGGAGACTCGTTACCTGCTCACATGTGACATCCACTGAGCACTGGTAGATGTGGTGACCTGAGGTCCTGAGCAGAGAAGAATTGGGCCCTCTGCCTATTTATCTGATGTATGCTTAGCTCACAGCCTTCACTGAACCAAGAGGACCAGATGCTCAGCTGTTGAAAACTTGTCTTTGCTAAAGGCTGAGGAGCAGCAGTCCTACAAGTGGCTTTGGCCTGCAGTCCTGACTCCCCCTGTTACCCCCTTGGGTAATTCCATGAGCCTCTGTAAAATCACTCCGGAGGAACACCAGTGCAGTCCATTAGGCATGAGGCCTTTAAGCAATTGAGTGTCTCCAGCGTGGGTAGAGGGATGGTAAAATATTGAGGGAGTGGCTATGATAGTGGCTCTCTGGGCCATCCAAGGTGATAAATTTAAGCTAGTTTCTTCATGTAGCTAGTTGGTATTCTAAGCAGGACTGAGTTAACGTCTCTGTGGATGATGCATAAGAAGAATGCCTTATCTTTCTCACTAAAGTCTTCAAAAGGAGGCTAGATAATCACCTTGCCAGGGTCATTTGATCCCAGCATTCATTCCTGCCCATAACAGGGGGTCGGACTTGATGATCTGCTCAGGTCCCTTCTGACCCTATCAACTATGAAACTATTTGCCTGTGAGGTGAATACAGCCTTGTCAAACACTGGGGAAGGCTGAGTAATAGTACAGCACTGATGGCCTTACTGAACCACACTTAGCACTGCAGGTGGCACCTGTGTGCATTGTGTGTGAAAAGGAGAAATCCCCTCATGTCCAGCCAATAACAAGATAATGGCTGATGCTTCTAAGGGGACCAACACACAACATGTTTTGAGCCAGGTGGATCCTACTCTTATCATCCAAGTGCACTATCCTGACTCGGAGGCTTGCTCTTTGGTCCTGAAAGTACAGGGGTAGGGTGTGTGCTTGGTGATTTATGTGTACAGTGGGGCAGAGGTCGGCTGGTGTCAATTTGTATAATTTCATTGCAGTCAGTGGAGCAATACTGATTCAGTCCTGCTGCGGCAGTATAGTAACTGTCCTATTCAGGAGAGCACCTGTCATCCTTGGAACTGAAGGGTTTTATAAATCCCACGCTTAGGATTATCACTCCCTTCTGAGTTGTGAGTCAAGCCTGGATACCTGACTGCCATCATCCTGCACATCTCCCACAAACCCTGTCATCAGGTCTGAAGGAGAGAATTGTTTCATCTCTGTAGGTGCTTTGCTACTCAGAATTGCAGCTCCTGGGGCATGCAGGGGAAGCTCAGGGCAGCCAATCTTACCTCGGGCTTAAAGGGATTCTTCTTCCAGAAGGAACCACCTTTGGCATACAGCTTCAGGAGCAGATGTTGGAAAAGACTAGCATTGTGCAGTCACTTCTGACCCCTCTTCCCTCTTCAAAGCCTGAAGAAGACCGAGTACTTCTCGTATATAGATAGTTGAGTGACACTACAGATCTATAAAGACATTTGCTGCTTTACTGGTATCTCTGAAGGAGCTCAAATTATTTGTAAGTTAATGCCTTGAACAGAGTAAGCCATTTGACTCTAGAACTAGGCTGTTCTAGCCACTTCTTCTTGATCATGCTCATGCCCCTGCTGTACAGAGTGCTGACAGGTCTGGTGAAGCTGCCTTCCACCTGCCTAAAGCTGAGATCTAGGATATGTACTTAATGTATTTTTTTCCTGCTTCATCATTGGGAGAATCAGCTTCATGCAATTCTGTAGGCTCTTCAGCCTGCTGCTAACCCAGATAGCTCCATAACCATGCCATGGCATCCTGAGCGCCCCAAGAACACTAGTACTATGGAGGAAAGATCAAAGGCCCAGGACCCTGTGGAAAAGATGCAGTATTCTCTATTAAAGTTCAAACTGTGACTTGACATTGCAGCCCTTTCATTCTGGCCAGACTGTCTTGCTGAACGTGATGGGAAAGCTTCTGTTTACTGCAGGGAGAGCAGTTAGGCTGCTGTCTGCCACTGAGAGATACAGGATTTTAACACGTTAAGGAGAGTTATGGCCTGCCAAGGAAACTATAAGCCCCCTTTAGTACTGGGGGTAACTAATGATGTGTTACTGAGTACTTGCCACAAATAATGAAAATGGGGACAGGAGTGGAGGTCACAGGTTAACAACTAGTCTGCCAAATGGGGGCACTGAACAGAGCACACCAGAGAGTGCCCACTGGCCCCTCAAATAAGTCCAAGGAGCCAGTGGATGCTGCCCATGATACTCTACCCAGAGACAGGCTCTCACAAGTGAAAGGAAAGCAGCCCCACAGTCCAAAGGGACCCTCCCAGCTAGAGCCTCCTTCCTGGTAAGATACATAGCCAGCTTAGCCAGGGCCAGGAGGAGGTTGACCAGGAGGTCCTGGGACTTGGTGGAGCCACAGATGGGGAGTGCAAAAATAAACAGGTGAGGGGAATAGTGCAGCCAGAACCTCAGCAAGAGGTTCTGGAGTAGGTGGTGCAGGGGCTGCAGCCTAGCACACCCCATGTATGCATACGCCAGGGTCTCTCTCTGCTGACAGAAGAGGCAGGTGTTGGAGGTGTCCATGAACCATGCCAGACACATGCCTGTGGCAACAGATCTGTGGAGGAGCCACCAGCTGAGATCCCTGGTGGCTCACAGAATCAAGGTGACATACAGATTAGTCCACTAGGGACCTTCACCCCCCTTGCTTAGGGTGTCCCACCACTTGTCATCAGGGCAGGATGCGAGTATGGGATGATGGACAATGTGGAGCATGAGCATGTAAAGCTGGTGGCAGTGGGCAGATCGAAAGCAGACCAGTTTAGTATCTCCTTCCTTCTAAGATGGTTAGATGGGGAGCATCATGGGGCCTGCTGAGGCAGGGGCCCTACAATGAGCTCTGGAGGGCTGGGGGATACCAGGCTGAGAGTCAATGTGGTTCCCAGCCCAGCTGGTGTCCTGGGTAGAGCAACACTGGTATGGTTGGCTGATGCTGCATGACCCAGGAACTCAGTCCAGCCTCAAAGTGGAGAAATCACTCCTCCTCCAGTCAAGAACAGTAAAACAGTGCATGGGAAGAGCTGAAATTAGGGTTGTCACTGAATGAGCAGGTAAAGTTACCATTTTAGCCACTTACTAGAGATTTCACTGCTCACTCAAGTAGTGGGTAGCTTGCAGGGTAACCTATATTTTCTTTGGTACAAGATGAAAATGTACAAAGGTACCTGAGCTAGCTCCCCAGCTGAAGGCAGTGGAGTGACAGCACTACAACACTGCACCAAGGCTCATTAACTCTGCTAAGAACAGGACTTTTCAGCCTGAGTGGAAACTGCTGATACAGCAGTGTTGGTCTGGTGCTGGAGCTAGTGTGAGCAGAGCTGTCTTAGATATCCTTGCACAGGTCTGCCTTCCATCATGAACATGTATTCTTATGTCTAAATTCTACTTGGTTTTATGCTTCTCAAGGGCATGTTTGCAGCCCCAAAACTGCCACTTTTGGAATTTGTACACTAAGCATGGTCAACGCGCAGCTGTCTATCCAGAGGGGGTTTGAGACCCTGCAACTTCCCTCTCCTTCGTGAACGGGAATGTGATGGCCTGTACAACCACCAACCCCAGACCTGGGATGCAGCAGGTGCCATTCAGTCACTTGCTGCTGTTGGCTCCGGATTTAGGACCCAGAGGTCTTGTTCTGGGGGGGACCCACCCTCAAACCAACCACAACCTCTCCATTTGATAGTAGGCAAATGTATTGATACACAGTGATAACAGAAAAAATGCAATGCAAACAGTCAAGCAATTCTGTATATCTGCAAAATCCTAGGGCTGTCATCAAAGTACATTTGGCCAGGATGCACTCTTCACTTGGAGGCTATCTCTTAGATGTCAGATGTCAGCAGTCCGGAGGTGGGATGCCAAGGCCCGCACCCCCGCTTCAGTGGGGTGGATGAGATGGGCTGGTGGTATGCCCTCTGTCCATTGTGGCCTCGGGGACCCTTCCCAGGGGATGGGGATGGGGACCGTCTCTCTGGGAAGAAAAAGAGGAGGGATGGGCAGGAATGGGGAAGGACCCTTTGTTACTCTCAAGTCTCTGCTTTTATATTCTCCTTCCCCTCTGATGACTCTTGATCTGTGGCTATCACTGGTTGGTTGTTTCCCTGTGGTCACACTGTCCACATAGCTTTCTGGGCCTTCTCCTAATTTGGTCTGTTTCCCCAAAACTGGGACTCGGGCTCCACTGCTCTGGGGCCTTGTTAGCTAGTGCTGCTTTATCTTGTGCTACGGGCAGTATAGTATATAATCCCTCTGTTCCCAGACTGTTTTCCAAACTGTGTGTTCTTGTTGGCCTTGTTGTGTTAGACAGCCTGTTTGCTTCCAAGGCTGTAATATTGTGCAACTGTGAGACTCAAGCTTCTTAGAAATCAGTTTTCCCCTGCTACCCATCCTGAACCATTCTGATGAATATATCTATACCTATAAGCCAATACCTAAAAAACAAACCTTTAAGTACAATTTAAACCTAACTATGTGTGTCCCTTTCCCCAAGGCCAGGCTCTGTGGGAGGCAAGAGTTATAGCTCAAGTATTACACATAAGCCTTATACAGGGGTAGAGGAGGTGGCTTGGCCTGTTTCTCTGCTCCACTTGCCCCTGACTCTCTAGTCTCCTATAAATGAAGGCCTATGTGGGGTTCCACCTAAAAAGCTACACTGGTTTTCTCCCAGCATGATCCTGCCCTGGGCTTCTGTCATGGAAGGCACCAATGCAGTGGAGCCAGGATTATGGGGTTGATGAAGAACCCTGCTCATATCTTGCATTCAAGCAGGATGGTCTGCAAGAATGAAGCATGGGGTTTAGCAGCTCACAGCACCTCTGAGCATCCTGCCACTCTCCCCAGGAGGTGACTGGCCCAGGAGGGAGAGGGAGAGGGAGAGAGAGTGTCAGCTAGCAGGAAAAGATACACAAAGCAACTCTGAGGATCACCTGAAGACCTATGGGACAAGTGAACCTTAGTCATCTACTACTTCTGGTGACACTTAGGCGTAGCAATGCCAGACTATTCGAAGCATCAGATTTGGCCTCAATTTTGCCCTACCAGCTGCTTGGCAGGGGACATGCAAGCCCCCTGTCTGTAATGGCCTGATGCCCTCTCAGGGTTGTACCAGCAGTTTTGATCATGAAAGAGCTCTCCAGTTCATACAGATAAGAAAGTGCCATCTGTGGGTTACAGGTCTTCCTGAATAGGTTTTTCCCAGACATGTTCTCCCTCAGGTTTGCTTTTCTCTGAGCAGGTTTATTTGCTGCTCTTTCTAAATTGTCCTTCCCTGACCTTTGGGCCTCATCTAGGGCCCCCAAACCCACCCTTGTTAACTTGTTGTTTGCCTCTCCTGAAGTGCTGGGAATGCAGTGCTAATTTCCTATGTTTTGTTCTCCTCTTACTACCCTCAGCAAGCTGACAAGGGAAAGTGGGACAGACTTCCCTATCCCAGTTATCCCAACAGTACCAGACTCGGAGACTGAGAAACTCATTCGGGAAAAGGATGAAGAGGTGAGTACTGGGGCAGGGACTGCATCTTCTTCCAGAGCATGCCCCACTGCAGCCCCCGTAGCACAGAGAGGCCAGGCTGTCAGTAAAACATGCATCTTCTCCCAGACAGCTTGGGTAATTCCTGCTCTGGGCTCTGACACTTGGTTCCCAGCTTCAGCATGCTCAGATGGTACAGCAGAGTCCATCCTCCACCCAGGTGCTCCACTCTTTCATATTTCCACTGTCTGGGGAACTGGAAGGGGACTAGCAGCCAACATTGCTCTGTTGGTGTAGCAAACAGGGCTGAATGATTTCTTTGGAGGGAAAGGTCATAAAGCAATAGTTTCCAACCTTTTTATGGTGAAGATCAGATTTAGGAAATAAAGGGCACCCCAGGATCTACTATGCCACCCCCTGCCCTGCTGCCCACCCCCAAGTGGCAAGGCTCAACTGAAAGGAAATGTAGAAATAGCAGTATATAACAGTATATAAAAGTAGGTGGCAGGGGGAGCAGGTAGGGCTGCAGGGAAACCAGGCCAGGGGCTCTGGATGGTCGCAGCAGGGGAGAAGGGGCATGCATGCAGCCAGGATCACAATTCCTTGAGGAAGGCCCAGATCCCATGTGCACCCAAGGGGCCAATCCGCCCTTCTGTGCTCCCAGCCAGCGGAGAGTCCCAGACTGGGCTGGGCCAGGGCCTGACATCACTTCTCTGCTGCCGCTGGGCTGAGCTGTGCCTGCCCAGCAGCCAAAGTAATATGGGGTCGGGCTCTGGCCCGGCCCAGGGCTCTCCGCCGCCCAGAGGCACATGGGGCAGGGTGGGGCTCATGCCGCTGGGCCTGCCCCCCCCCCCACCACACCCTGTGCTCCGGGACGCCCAGAGTACAGGGAGGGAGCAGGCATGGGCCTCCAGAGCAGGGATGGCGGGGGGGAGGAGCATGGGCCCACAAGGCCCCTGCTGGGCTATGTTCAGCAGCAGGAGCCCCCCATGTACCCATGGCTGGCAGGGAGCCCCAGGCCAGGCCAGGGCCCGACCCCACATTCCTTTGACTGCTGGGTGGACACGGCTCAGCCCAGCCGCAGCACAGAAGTGGCAACGGGCCCCGGCCTGGCCCAGTCTGGGACTCTCCGCCAGCCAGGGGCACATGGGGGGGCTCATGCCCCCTCCTCCCCGTGCTCTGGGAGCCCGTGCTCCCTGGGCCACTGCTTTGTGGACAGAGCCTCCATCTGGCACTTCTCCTATATCACTTCTCAAAATCAGCTGACAAAGGGCCTTGTTACACAGTAATTTTGGATGGCTTCTGGAGGTCTTAACCACTGGATTGTCTGCACATTAACACTGGAAACTAGTTTTAAGCGCTCATTAGGTAGCTCCAAGTTATGCCACTCTAGGGCAGGATTATCTCTGATCCCTGCTACCTAGCTTGTGTTACAATGAGTTGCAGCCATTCTAGACTACATCTTAGTGTAAACACCACTGCCATCTCCCTTCCTCTACTGGCCCAGATCAGGCCCACTGTCATTCCCCCCGCCCCACTCTCCCAAGCACCCCAAATCCCTGCTTACTGCCCCCCCCCACCACGATCCTTCTGACCCCCACTTATTTGTGGCTGCCCGACTGTCTGGGGAGCAGGTAGGGAAGAGTTTACCTGCCTTCCCAGCCACTGCCAGTCAGCTCTGCTGGCAGTGGCTGGGCAGACAGGTTAACCCTACCCTGTCTGTTCCCTCAGGACAGACAGTGGGAGCAGCCACAATTAAGCAGGTGGGCCAGGGAGAAACCTGAAAGACAAGGAGGGAGCCCCCGGGGTGAGGGCCAATGCGGGAAGCATGGACTGAGAGTGTGGGCAGGGGAGGGGGAAGGGATTTTTCTCTTTTAATCCTCCAGGCCCCTCCTGACATGAACTTGTGACCACTCCAAACTGCTAGCATTAATACCAATTAACATTTATGCAGCTCACAGTGTAAGGTGTAATAAGGTCCATAGAAACAAAGGCTTTTTCACATCTCTAGCCTTGATCAGTCTGTTCACTGCCCGCGGCTCCCTCCAGCCACAGCCCCTCTACCCCTCCTCCCTTCAGCACTGGGCATCCAGTTATTCTCCCTCGCAGGAATGAGCTCTTCCTGTGCAGTTCGATTGTTCTCTGTGTAGGGCTTTGGCCTTCCTTTCCTTGCTAACAGTCTTGCTCCTTTTAGTTGCCCAGTGTAGCAAGGTCGGGATCCCAGGGTGCCCCCTGGTGGCTTTGCAGCCATGCCCCGCTCTGCCCGTAAGGCACCTTCTCACTTGCCACACCTTGATGGAAGTATAATAATAAATAGGGAGGCTGCCCACAGGCTAACCCAGTTCAGCTGAGTCCTTGCTGGGCACCTACAGCCCTAGGACCTAATTGAGTGGCTCCAAACCCTCCCCTACACCATGCCGCATGCCTTACAGGTGTTACTATAACATCGTTCCCTCTGTTGGGGCTTCGGCCTCTGCCTCTTTAATCTACCTTGGCTTTCTACCCTAGGCTCACTGTATCAGACCTGGCTCTGTCTTTTCCAGTCACCAGGCCACGGGCCCCTTTCTGCCCGGCCCCAGGCCCATGTAGCTGAGCCCCTCGCTGGCACCAGGCCCTTGTCTCTCTGCACGCCTCAGGCACTGGGCCCCTGTTCCATGTCTGGCTGCCACCTTGGGCTCTCTGCCCACTCCGGGCTCAATAGCTGCTTGAGCCTTGAGCCTGCCCCTGGGGCACTAACGGGGCCCCCCATAAACTTCTATGTGCAGTCCCAGTCCAAACCACCAGTATAGACACAACATAAACATAAGGGGATAACAGCCCTCTGTCCCTTTAAGGGTGTAAACCTTGACTCACTAATACAGTCCTCCCAGCCTGGGCTCCTTGCGAACTCCCCAAGCCTCCCTGTTCCTGCAAGCAGCAAAGCAGTCAGCCTAGCATCCCTGGGTGGCTCTCCTGGACAGGAGCTCCTTGCCCTGTAGCTGCCAGGGAGAGACTCCCATTGCCAGCCCCAGCCTTGGGCTTATATACTCCCACGGCCCTGTCTACCTCCAGCCAGCTGACCACCTGTAGGTGCCTGCTGACTGCTCCATTAGCCTGTTCCCCCAGTGACTTGCAGCTGCTGCACCCTGCCTAGCCTGCAGTGCTCCCTGGCTGAACTGCTTTTATCTTACAGTAACGAAGCCTCAGGCTCTCTGTTATACCCAACACTCGCAAATTCCTCAAATGAGCCCATTCTTCCCTGTTCTTAATACTGAACACTAATGAGGACCTTAGATAAGGCCCTTCCTCTGGCAGTCCTTTCCCTGAGGCCTGGCCTAGTCATGCTCCTGCTGTCAGAGCAACTCCAGGGGACAACCCATTTTTTTAATTCCCACAGGGCTGCCCAAGGAGCCTGGGCCTGATCCTGTCTGCCTTGCCTCCAGATTAACCATCTAACCCTTCTTCAGGTATCCTGGAAAGCAGTAATTTCTAGGTCTGTGGCACTTTCCATGTCCATGTGTAAATGACCCCACTGCAGGGGAGAATATGTCCTCTTGCTACAGAGGAGAGGTCCCTGTGTCAGATCTGATGCTGCAGCTATCCCCCCGTCCTGGCAGAGCCATGAGAGAGGACAGAAAGTCAAATCCAAGTTGGTCCTATGGTGAGGAAGCTTGTGGCCCTATGGGGCTCCCATTGACACTGCCAGTATATTGATCTCTGGAGCTGTGCTGAGTGCAACCTGTAGCTTCTATTCCTTAGGGAAGGAGTGCTGGGGATTGGGCCCTCAGATGCTTTCCTTTTGTTTCAGCTGAGGCGGATGCAGGAGATGTTGCAGAAGATCCAAAGACAGATGAAGGACTCTCACTAACCTCCCTGCCCCTCCAGCTTCTGCGCTGCACAGAAACTGGAAATGTTTACATCGTGCTCCATCCCATCAAAGCCAAGTTACAGTACTCAGTACAACAACACACCTGTCACCTTAAGCTGATGCAATATCGCCTTATTCTCGAACCTCAGCACTTTCCCTCCAGAAGCCTAGAGGAAAAATGGCTGACACATTGCAGGGCTCCTCTCTATTGCCTTCCCTCGGCCTCCTGACTTAGAACTGAGCCTCCTCACTTCTAACAGTGGCTGCAAACCCACCCCTGAGACTCCAGGCAATGCTTCCCCATGGTTCAGCTGAGTTGCACCTACTTGCTTCACTGTGTCCCTTTATGGTGAATATGTACAGCCTCTCTTAGTTCAAAGCACTCCTGAGGTGCACCTCAATTCCCTTTCCGACAGACCACAGAATGTCACTCGTTCTTGTCAGCAGGACCCTGCCATACTGGGAGATTGTGCAGACCTACTGCTTCAGGGGAAGTCGTATGGGTGGCTAGTGGAGCACCGTGGCTATGGCTGTGGGAGAGACCTGAGCCTTGGGCCCCCCAGTCTCCAGATGGGAACTAGCATTGTGCAGCAGTTCTAGAAGTAAAATTCTAGTTCCCATGAATGATGCCTGTGTCCTGGCACCTGGTTCTGCAGGGCCTCTGACCTGCACTGTATGCAGTCACTTACACCAGGGCCAAGGCTATTCTCCAATAGTGCTGACCAGCAACAATGACTTGGTGTTCAGGCAGAGGGGACTCAGGCCCTCAACCTCCTCTTCCAAACAAGCCTGGCTTTGTGAATGATAGCTGGACAGCCAACATACATTGTAACATGTTTGTGAGCCCAGGTAATCTGGATGTCCTGGCCCTTGCTTCTGCCATCAGCTAACAGCTTCATGAAGGACTTGCCCATGTTTTGAGATCACTGGGTCTTATTCTATTTTCTGATACATGAACTCATCCATTGATGCTTCTGGGTTCCAAATGGAAAGCCAGGCATATTGGCCCTGGGAGCAAGGAGCACATTGAATCATAGTAAAGTAGGGCTGGAATGGGCCTCTGGTCCAACCCCCTGCCTGAACCAGCTGCTCCTAGGTCATCCAACCTCTTCTTGTACAGCTCCAACAATGAAGATTTCACAACTTCCCTAGGCGGCTCTATTCTACCGTCTCTCTGTTCTAACAGTGAAGAGGGTTTTTTTCCTGATATCCAGTCTAAGCTTACTTTACTGCAACTTTAAGCCATTGGTCCACAACCTGCTCTCTGCAGTGAGAAAGATATGTTCTCCATCTTGTTTATGGCACCCTTTCAGGTATTTGAAGACCGCTATCATGTCCCCTCTTAAGCACTTTTCTGCAAGTTGAACATGACTAGCTCCTCCTCCTACTTCCTTTCAAAGCCCTTTATCATTTTTGTCACCTGACTCTAGACCCTCTCTAACTTCTCCACGTCTTTTTTAAAATGTGGAGCCCAAAACTGCGCACATACTCTAGGTGAGGCATTACCTGTGCCAAGTAAAGAGGCACCATCTCTTCCAGTGTCTTGCATCTAATGCTCATATTGATACGGCCTAAAATCACATTCAGCTTTTGTGCAGCTACATCATGCTGCAAACCCGTATTGAGTTTGTGATTCACCAAGATTCCTAGATCTTTCTCCAAAGTGCTGCCATCCAGCCAGTTGCCATCCATTTTGTATATGTGCTTTTTGATCAAAGGTGCAGCACCTTACATGCATCAGCATTCAACTTCATTCTGTTCACTCCACCATAGTTTGAAATGGCTTCAGCCCCAGAAAGCCAGGTGACATGGCAGTAAATGTGCCCAATTATTTCTCTTCTATGTGGATGCATCTTCAAAGCTGAACATCAGGCAGTGCCTGCTTCGGGCCATCCAACCTGTTCTGATCATCAGTGTATAGGAGGTGTGTTCTGTGCAGCATACCCTACACACATCTCTTCTTCCCAAAGCAGAATGGCTAGGTGAGTGGTGTGGGGCCCATCTATGGGTCAGATTGGGCTGTGGGGTCCCAGCATCACTCCCTCCTGCCCTCCATGCACTAGGATTGGGTCCCCGGGGGCTGGCACCACTCCCTCTCACAAAGATTGGGTCCTGGGAAATAAATGGTCAGGCATAGCCCAGGAAACAAGTGCTCAGAGATGTCCTTCTAACACTGTGGTATGGCTGTAGAGGAATGCATGCACCAGCCTCAGCTTCCTAGCTGCCATGAGTCCATGTACCTTCCTGGCATAGGTATTAATTCGTGAAGACACTACAGGGCTCTCCTCCTGCCACACATTCATATCCACACTCAGCAGGGCTCCCTTAGCATGCGTACAGGCATGCATGAGCGCATCTGTGTATAGCAGGTATCTATTCCCTGGTACAGAGGGGTGCACATACATGTATACACAGCAGACTCCCCTTCTGGCATAGATGCAGACACACACGCACATATGCAAGGCCTTCTTTGGATGGGTACACGCAAAAGCATACACTCACTGCAGGGTTCCCTTTTCTCCTCCAAGAAGCATGATGTGGGGGGCAGAGAAAGTACAACCTGTGTGTCTGCAAAATTCATGAATTCTAAGCTCTTCCTGAAATTCCCTGGTGAAGCTAGTGGCTATTCCATGTTCTGTCCCAGCCAGTCTCCTTGCCTTGTTCTGAGCAGCTAGATGAGGACCTAGCTTTTGTCTCCCAACCCTGGCAATTTGCCAGAGCAGGTAGTCCAGTCTCCAGCACACTGCATAACAATACAGGGCCACAACAGCTTGCAGCTTCTGCAAACCCAATACCAATTCCTTACTGGAGGTGCATGGACTCCATAATCGAATGAACCTTACTAGTGGAAAACAGTGAGCCCACCTGAGTCACAGAGTTAGCTGTTAAACTAAATGGTTTAAAGACGAAGATACTGTTTGGACTGCAGGCAGCGCACAGCAACACTACAGATACAGTCCTGAAAAACCAGAGTAAACTTCCTAGCATCCATGCACATGACAGGAACCAAAACATGGGCATGTCACATGGACTGTAGCTCATCTATCTGGTGGCGCTGACAGCAGGGACAAGCCCGGAGACTGGGCAAGCCATTTCAAGAATGGGAACAAGCCTGTACTTCCTATCCTCTGGCTCAGTGTCTCCCTTGGAACATCTGGACCCAAAAGAATCCTGGAAAATCTCTTTCCTAGCCTCAGCCTGGACTGAAGATCTGCCTTGTGGACCTGTCCTCACAGACCTCTGCACTGCAGATGAATTGCCCATTCCAGGGGTGTGTAGAAAGTACTTTTCATCCAGGTGGTTGGTATCTCCTCTTCTGGGCAACTAGAGATGGAAAACCAGTTTGAGTAAAATGGTTAAACCTTCACCCAAAATGCAAATCAAACCTCTCAAAGCATCTTTATGCCTCCTTGGTTTTCTGGGTTGTGCGGCAAGCAGAGCTCCTGAAGAGTAAAAAGGAGAGCTGTTTTCACAACCTTCAGCCTAGAAAAGCAGAAATCTCCCAAGGAAGACAGCTCTCCCCTTTACTCTTCAGCAGCTCTGCTTGCCACACAACCCAAAAGGCAAGGTGGCATAAAGATGCTTAGAGAGGTTTGATTCTCATCTTGGGTGAAGGGCCCAGCTTTTGATATGGAGGGCAGAGAATGGCTCTTGTGAGCCATCTGATCCAATTTTTCAGATTCTAGACATTTGAGGTAGCTTGGATGAACTTGGAAGAGTTCCCAGACTTTTGGAGCTATTTCCAGTCCATGTCTTTGTGGTCAACCCCTATTTGCATCCTGCCTCCAGCTAGCAATTATTTTAAGCAATAATTAGGGACCTACTTAATTTGTGGTTTCACAGATTTCATGGAAACTGTGAAATCTGGGATTGTTGGTGAATTCATAAAATCAAAACAAAAACATTTAAAATAAAGTGCTGGCTTCCCAGTGGGAGCCACTGGTCCTTGCTGCTGGGAGGAGCTGGTGGGGAGGCATGAAGGGCAGCCAGCAATCAAGATGGTGGCTGCTCCCTTGTCCCTTCTCCCTCCTGGGTCCTCTTCACCAATCAGTGCTGAGGGGCAGGGCCACTGAGAAATGCCAGTGAAATTGTCTCACCATTATTTAAGTAGGTCCCTAGCAATAACCCAGGTCCCATGTAAGCACGCATTGTTTCTAAACAGCTATTCTGTATGACTGGCAGCACCACCAGTGTTATCCTTCTTTCCAACAAAACTGCTCTGCCAGACTAACCTCACTTAGGACTAAGTAAACCCAAGAGACTCAAGTTGACTTCAGTGCCCTGTTCCGTTTGTAGCTCTATGACTGGGTTGATTGAAGGTTTTTGGAGATCCCACTATTACCTGATTTCTATCCCGCTGCATCTGACCTTGTTTAACATCTCTATTAGGCCGTGGAGTCATGCAGAACATAGGAAACAAGCATGCAACCATCACATGTTTGTCTTGTCCAAGCCCATGCCTATTTTTAAAAACTAAGTGACCCTGCTCTAAATGACACCCCATAGAGCCAGCAGTGGGGTGGGCAGGGGTAATCAGACACCGGCGCTGGGCAGTGCCTCAAGTAAAGGGGGACAGGGAGGGGAATTAAACTCTCCTGTCTCCCCTCTGTCCCACTCACACAGGGACCCAAACGGGGGTCTGCCCAGCTTTCCTCCCCACTGTGGGGGCCATGGTCAGAGCCAGGCTGGGCAGCAGCCTCAGATGAAGTAGGGGAAAGGGAGGGGGATTAAACTCCTTTCTCCCCTCTTCAGCATAGGCACAGGGACCCCAGTCAGGGTCTGCCAGGGTTTCTGCCCCACTGCTTGCTCGCATGGCAGGGGGCACGGCCAGAGCTGGCCTGCATGGCCGTGCCATCTGCCCACCTCACCTGGGGCTGTGGGGCTGAGCTGAGCCAACCTGCGGGTGCTGCTGAGGGTGGGTGCAGAGGGGCTGGCCCATGGGGACAGGGCCTTTCCATCTGGATTCAGCTTGGGCTGGGACCAGAGGAGCTGTGAACTCAGATTGATCCAGGCTCCCCATGCCTGGGCTGGGCTGTTATGGAGCCACAGCCAGCTGGGAAGGGCCCTAACCCTGGGCTGGCCCCTCCATGCCCATTCTCAGCAAGGGCTGCAGCCAGCCCCTCTCAGCCCCAGGCAAGGTGGGCCCAGGCTGGGCCATGGGGACAGGGCCCTTCCCAGCTGGCTGTGGCTCTGTGACAGCCCTGCCTGGCACATACAGGTGATGGCTGGCCACGCAGCAGCATGGAGGCAATGCTGCTGCAGCTGCAGGCAGGCACCTTGGCAGCTGGACTGGCCATGCAGGACAATTCCTTCATGAGTGTGTCTGCCCACGTCACCTTGGAGGCGCCAGTGACCTGGAGCCCAGAAGCCATCTGCCATGGGGGCTCATGTT